TTTTGAAAAAAGTTTGTTCTGGGCATATCTTCTATACTTTTTACACATGGAGTAACCAGATTTGGTATACAAAGACATCTTGGAATGGCGGAGTGCAGAGTGAAAGAATTGGGTAACTCTTGACTTATGACTTGACCTTTGACCTAAAGTTTTGTACAAGGACATCTTGGGATGACAGAGTGCAAGAAGTATGTATCAGGATACTTTAATTTCCTTACAGTAGGTACATCCTGACATAAGTGTACTGTTTGTTAAATATAGAAATCATTACTAATGGGGGACTATGGATTGCATTACAATATTTTGCCTTGGTTACTCCAGTAACAGTGCTAGCCCCACTGACAAATAAGTGCATTACTACAATGTCAGTTGTCACTTAGCCTATTCCATATTTGTCTCGGTGAAAGCCTGGTGTAATTATTTAAACATTACACGTATGGTCTACCAGGTTTGTTGTAAAAAACAGCAATGACTAATTATACCCACAGAAACAAAGTTTGGGAATCCCATGGCCGGGGCAATTAGTTTGTCCATCTGTCTTTCATCTGTCAATCTGTGGATAAAATTCAGTCTGGATAACTTCTCCTAATTATGAGCTAATGAGTTGACTTTAACACAACTTTATCTGTACATTTATACAGTTGTATGAATGCACAATGCACCAAAAAAACTGTGTGCACATTTTTCATACATTGTGCTCACACCGTCCACACATAGTGAGCACAACTGGCCATTGGCGATTTAACAATCGATAGCCCTGTTGTGCGACAAAAAGCGCTCATATACAATGTGCAATATGGGGAAATTGATTGAATGAAAAAAATCTGAAAGGCTCAAGTGTAATATGGTACATATATTTTGTACTTCATCCAATTTTCAATATACGTTACACATTATTATAATGACTGTTTATAACTATCAATAATGGATGGAGTTGATCGCTGATGTGTTAAAAACCTTTAAACCACTTCTTTTGATTAACCAAGAGGCCTAAAGCAATGATATTTGGCCAGTAGGTACATTGGACAGAGTGATATAGATATAAAAGGTCAAATATGTAAAATCCTTTAAAGAACTTCTTCAGAATAACCTGAGGAGGCCCTGGGTGATGATATTTGGCCAGTAGCATGCTGGGATAGAGTAGTATAAAGCTTCATTTAGTCTGGAGCATTCTTAAACCAAGGAGACTCAAAATATGGAAATATTTGCAAAAGTACTTTTATTGAGAATATTTTCCCATGATTGCACAAATATCCAGGTGAACGATACCGACCCTCTGGACCTTTTGTTTCATTGTGTGCCCTCAAACCTTTTTGATATTGTAATTATGACCAGTCTGATTTGAGAAGACTGCGTGACACGACCCGGATAAGTTTATAATTACTGTGCTGCACACACATCCTTCCTAACCACTCATCTGTAAATGGTTTTAATACTATAGGAAACATATATTTCCACAATTATGATGTAAATATTATCAGGTGCTAGTCTGTTTCTAATGTACTAAATCAATAGAAAGTATACATACAAGCTTCTATAAATTGCTTGTTACAAACACTATATATATACATAGTATAGTGTGCACATATATATATATATATATATTCTGTCAGGACATACAGTAAATTGAAGCCAGAATCCTTTACAGTAAGTTATATGACAGTATATCTTTATGGTTGTGTACTGAGACTCCGAGGTATACAATGTCGACACTGTTATAACTTATTTATCAGAAACAGTACGAAAAGTCTCCAGTTGCCAGAGGGTGTAATGTGTATGTGTAATAGACATAAGGTAAAACCCCGTTAGTTGATCAGGCCCAGTATTGGCATGGAAACTGTATGATTTTAGTGGGCATCACAGGAAGCGATAAAACAATTCTGTATTGAACAGTCCATCACTGTTTTGTAAGAGTTAAAGGTTTGAGATTGATTTGTTGTAGAAAGACCAATTCCAGAATAATTCATTTACCCATCAAGTTATTTTTTCTCTTCAACATTTCATGATGAAAGGTTCAGCAAAACAATCCAGTATTTGTGTGTATTGGACTTGTACATTGTTGTTTTTAGCTCATGTGACACAACAAGGAGTTACATCCGATGTCCAATTGTAAAACGTAAAACCACATACATGTAGCTGATTATGACCAAATTGGTTGGAAGTGTGAATGTATTCTTATAAGGGGCAAAATTTGAGGTGCCTAAAACTGTTCTTGTACTTAACAAACTAAGCTCATTATTTTGATATTCATTCTGTAGCACCCATGCATGTAGTTATTTTGTAATGTAATATTTGCAAAATTTGTAATACTTCAACTAATAGCACTAACATGCTACAAAGTTTTCTCAAACAAATGACCTAGACCTATGTTCAAGGTTACGGGTAAAATGTGGAAAAAAAACCTTTCAAGCAACTTCTTTTGAATAACCAAAATGCACAGGGTGATGATATTTGGCCAGTATTCTGTATGGGCAGATTGTTATAAAGTTCCTTCAAATGACCTTGCAATTGTTCTACTTTTGAAGGGCACAGGGGTCAAATATGGGGGAAAACATTCTGAATAACTAGAAAGTACAAGATGATGATATTTGGCCATTAGGTACCTGGGATAGAGTGCTACAAACTTTCCTCAAATAAATGGCCTTGACCTACATGCAAGGTCACAGTAGACAAATTTGTAAAATCCTTCATACAGCTTTTTCTGAGTAACCAAAATGCCTAAGCTATGGTGTTGATGTTTTGCCAGCAGTATGCTGTAGCATGCAGTTCTTCAAGGTCACTACAAATGTATGTGTTAAAAACCTTAAAAGTTCATTTTCTGAATAATCAAGAGGCTTATAGGGGTTATGACATGGGATGCCTGGAGTTGCATGTTTGGATGATGGGCTTCCAAGTTTGTACAAATGAATGACTTTGAACTACTTTGAAGGCTTGAAGGGTCAGATATTTAAAAGCTTTTCAACAACTAAGGAATAACTGGGATGCCCTGCAGAGTGATCATATTTGACAAGTTGCCTGCTTAGATGGAGTACTCTGAAGATTCAACAAGTAATTAGGATCTTCCAAGGTCACAAGGTTCTAATGTATTCAAGACATTTAAAGAAATTCTTCTGAATAACCATTAGCCCTTAATAATGGCAATGATATATACTTGGCCAGTATTTTGGTTTACAGTATTGCATTTAATAGTAAGAATATTTCGTCATTATTGCCTGATGTCCAGGTGAATAATACAGGCCCTCTAAGCCTCTTGTTCTAATAGCTACAATATTTGTGAAATTAAACCCATATTCATTGAATTACAGAGGTAAAAAATGAGAACATTTATCAATTAACTTAATCAAAAGGCCTAGAGTCGTGATATTAAGTATCCTGCCTCATTGTTGTGTGATGAAATGTTAATAAGCCACTTTAATCAGGTGAGCATCTTCAGGTATATATTATAGGCCTCTTGTTATAGATAGGTTCAATATATCCTAGCATGGTTAGTAGACTCTATTATATACAGGCATATATGATATATAGAGGATATAGAAATTCTATTTAAGAATGTAGATTTTTTAGTGAAAACGAAGACTTGCTAATTAGCCACTTATTTTAATTAAATGAGAGATTTAAGATTTATATTGTATGTACTTTTTGTGTGTGACAATTTCCAAATTTTCTGGACAGTCTTGCCCATGCATGAGCCTTGTTCTCAGTTAGAGTTTCCTTTACACAAGCCTAAGTATATCATGATGATTACGGGTAGATTGTGTGGTCATCATAATTTGATTGATGTCAGAAGCATCAGTATTGACAAGTTGTGTCTTTTCGTTGTGATCTTGTATATCAGTTTCTAAGGATAGAAAAGTAAGGTCTTTTTTAAAATTCTTCTGCATTTTCGTACTTGCCAACTCTCCCTAAGGAGAGGGAGACATCCTGGTTTTGTGTGTTCAACCAGTGGATTTGATAAATTATTCCTTTATTGATTCTATATAGAATCTAATGATTTCATCTGGAAAACAACTCCAGATACGTCACTTTAGAGGGTTATTTTGCCTGTAGGGGGGTATACATACACATTTTATTCATGTTTTAATTTTGAGCATGCTGAATCTCCCCCATGGCAATTTCAAAAATTTGGCAAGTATGCATTTGATCAAGCCGACAACCGTATTACAATGTAACCAGTAATTTGTATTATAATTAATTGCACACTCTACCGGTAATTTCGTACACTGTAGTGTAATCCTGTACGTTTTCAATGTACACAACAGTGTGTTATATAAATAAGACACAAGAAATCTTCATGATAGGAGAATGATAGTGATATATATATAGGAGAATGATAGTGATATATATATAGGAGAATGATAGTGATATATATATAGGAGAATAGTGTACTTCAACAACCTTTTTGTGTAATATTGATTGGATGTGATGGAATTTGTTTTAAAATGTGTATATGTAAGAATTGATCTTATCTTCTGTAATCTGTAAAATGCTTATTAAATGTGAAAATTAACATTTGAGTGGTAAACACTCTGGCCTTCCAAGCAGGCGGCCGGGGTTCGATCCTCGAAGTCGCCGTACGCATGGAATATTAGAGAAAGTGTTTTTCTCCTGCCCACACAACTCCAACAACCCTGGTGGAGTATAAAATAGTCTGGGGTAGATGTTGCGGTATCTGTGCTGTAGCATTCAAGTGAGGTGGCACTGTAAATGATATTGTTGGAAGCACGGTCCCACTACAAACAGAACACAATACATCTCCAGCACACACACAGGCATACACACATAGGGAGATATTGGCCAGGTGGCATAGGACTAGTAGTTAGCGCATGATAAGGCAGCTCCTGCGAATTCCTCAATATTATATTGATTAATATATATGCTAATTGTATTGACTGTATAAAATTATATATATCTATGTACTGTAAAGCGCTTCAGCGTGGCTTATGTTAGCTAGATAGGGTGCTATATCAAATGTATATTTATTTTATTTTTATTTATTTCAGATCTGTCAAAGAACAGACTGCAAGATGTGCCAAAGGAGGTGTGTGACTTTGGGTCCATGGAGAAGCTCAACTGCTACCACAATGTACTCAAATTTCTGCCCGACGCCTTGGTCCAACTTCAGGCCCTTACTCATCTGAATATCAGGTAAAGTGATAGGGAATCGGGGCGTAGTTCTGTAAACGTGGACAGGTTTGTGTATGGGAATTAATGTTCACCTTGTGATGACCAGTGTGGACATTTTCACAATAGTTCTGAAATCTATTTGTTCTGTTTATCTATATGATTTATAAATAAATATTCGCTTGTGGATATTTTCACGCATCACAACCATACAAGATACTATCACAAAATCGTCGATGGCCTTAAAATGGAGACCAGCTACAAACAAGTGCATACTACTTTAGCGTGAAGTGGACAAACAAAAACAAGTTAATCCTTTATATGATGCTCCGAGGTACCTTCACTCTTTAAATAGTGAATATTGTAATTAATAATGAATAAATTGAAACACCTCCTTACAGTCAAAACTACATAAGCAGAATTAGGTTAAGAATTAAGTAACATTCTCAGAATAACAAATTTTTGTGTTCATAGTGTTTGAAGTTTGTAAAGTATTTTCACTGCAGAATTGTATTTAAATACTTTGTCGAAAGTCTAATTCCGTTATAGACAAGTCGGAGACAAAGTTGGAGGTCTGAAATAGACAAGTCGGAGACAAAGTTGGAGGTCTGAAATAAACAAGTTGGAGGTCTGAAATAGACAAGTCAGAGACAAAGTTGGAGGTCTGAAATAGACAAGTTGGAGACAAAGTTGGAGGTCTGAAATTTAGATTTAAATGAATTGCAGTAAAACTGAAGGACAAACTTACTATAAGTATGCAACACCAACCCAGAATTTTGCAAAATCTTTTCTGAAACTCCCTTGGCTGGGGATCTGAATGACTATGTCCTGGTACCTGTACAGAAAGAATAATAACAATATCCAGGACGTTAGAAAGTAAATTCGTGAATCTTAAATGAATCCAGTGAATTTCAATTTCGCTAAGTTTCAGATAACTTGAGAAAATTCCTGGTAAGGTGTGGAATTTTGTGGAAATTTGGTGAATCTTTGGTAACTTGCGACTTGGTTGTACATGTGAAATGCTAAGTTTGAAAGACTAGGCCAGACTTTGGAAATTTCGGAAATTTCGCTTAATTTGCATAGTGGCATATGCTAACTATACTAAAACTAACAGTAAGTGGACATGTTACAGTACAATGGTATTGTGTGAGCACAAAACATAATGGTCCCAGTTAGTAAATATCCCTTTTTCGTTGATGATAATTTACAGCTAGGATATTTTCTTTGATGAAAATGGAAAATTCTGATTGTCAAGAGTAAACATTGACCTTCAAAGCATTATGATATGTCTGGATAAATATTTGGTAGCATGTCGTTTCCCTGTACTAACCTCAGGCCTGTAGCTATGTCCTATACAATATTGATACAGATATATTTGAATGGCTCCTGCATGCTGTGCCAGACAGCTTCGACATTAACCAACAGGTTGGACAAAACATGCTAAAAATCAATTGGAACAATTATGATTTGCATACTCTAAGACCACTGGTGAGCTGTAGTGGCAGCATCGGTCACTCTGTCTACAACAACAAATTTGCATCCTAAAAATAAAACTGATTTAAACATGTACCATTGATGTGAATTACAGAGGAAATCCTATAAACATTGTCTACGGCAAATTGAATTACCAGGATGTAATAGAAAAATTTAATAATAGGATCTTAATCAGTTATATCAGTAAAAATTCAAAAACAAATTGAAAATGTGTGTGTCTATTTACATGTAACTTGAAAAGTTTTGAACAATGCAGCAAGCTTAAATTTAGCCTATCTAAAAAATGTCATAAATGAATTTGTGGGTCTCTCAACCCTGAGGACTTTCACTTGGAACATGCAGCAAGCTTAAATTTAGTCTATCTAAAAACTGTCATAAATGAATTTGTGGGTCTCTCAACCCTGAGGACTTTCACTTGGAACGTGCAGTTTGCTTAAATTTAGTCTATCTAAAAACTGTCATAAATGAATTTGTTGGTCTCTCAACCCTGTGGACTTTCACTTGGAACGTGCAGTTGGCTTAAATTTAGTCTATTTAAAAACTGTCATAAATGATTTTGTTGGTCTCTCAACCCTGAGGACTTTCACTTGGAACGTGCAGTTAGCTTAAATTAAGTATGACTGGCTCCATATATACAGACAGCGATATACAGATGAAAACTGGAGAAGATTGTCAGCTCATCTAGGGCGATTACTGGAGGCTAGGCAAGGTAGGCCAGGCCAGAGCTCCAGGCAAGGCGTCGGCCAGAGTTCACATCAAATTCTCTGTGATGTCCTACTCTACTCTCTTTACACATCTTATTGCATTTAGTATTAAATTTGCCAGCTTACAACCTCCCATGGGGTATCTTTATACCACAAATTATCAATAAAAAAGAGAGAAAATAATTGAATATTGAAATATGTTATCTAGTATATGCGTTGAATGTGTGCCCCACTTTAAAGTAAAAAAATATTTTGGAATGTATTCCTGTCATCAATTGGCACGTTATATAAACAACAGTCGAAGACATTCTGAACAGTTTGCTGTTCTAAAAGCTGCATAGCTGTGACGCTAAATAAAATTTCTCAATCACTTTAAATTCTAAAATGTTGAATCCAGGAAAGTACAAAAATAAAATACATGTCACGTTTGAAGTGATCTGACACAGTTACAAGGCCGAAAATCTGCGCTTTGTCCTGGTGTTTCAAAGGCGATATTTTCTTCTAAATGAAATACAGTTGAATCTCGTTATCTCAAACTCTTTTAACTCGAAGACCCCGTTTATCTTGAAGTATTTCTCCAGTCCCGGCCAAATCTCTTCTTTATCTTAGTAAATAAAACTCTGATAATTCGAACCCTGAAAACTCGAAAAACTTGGATACCTCGAAGTAAGATGTTGGTTTCAACAGCGTAAATACAACATCAAAGCATTGTCTACTTAAGAGTCTTCCAATCTTATTTTGTCACTCATTTATTCTTTGATACAAATAAAACAAGAAAAATAAATCTTTCCTTAGCATGAAATTGATAAAAATAATTTACGATAAAGCTTTAGACTGTAACGTGTGCGAACTGTCAAAACCACGTTGTTCATAATAAAAAAAACACTTCATCAACGCTGCTCAACAGTATTCTGTACTTACTGTGAGTTCGTTTAATGATTTGTACACCCAAACTGACCACAGTCCAAACTGGAAAATTGGTCAAAAAGTGAGGTCATGCGGAAAAGAGTTCCACAGTTAAAACCACAACCTTAGACAGCTTCACGGGTTCATGTTTTTACAGGAGCCAGTATGGCTTTGAAAGTCGACCGAGATATTTTAAGAACAATACGATAATTGCTGTTGATTACATCGAGTTGAGGAGCTGTCCGGTGTCATATTTGGCTTTAATGAATCAATGTGTTACATATACGATATAACCTGCTTGTGTGTGTTTTCATTTACAGAATCAACTACGCGTACGCTCCATTACAGTGATTTGTTTTAGACTTGCGCACTTTCATTTCCGCATTGTATAGAATGAGGTTGGAGACAGCGGAATAGTTCGATTTTAAATGTAACACTTCAGCGGTAAAACTTGACAGACTTGCAAATACAAAAGCAGGCCTGGAAAGACTTTGCCAAGACTAGCCAAAAACAACATTTAATCACTTGGCCTGTCGATTTTACATAATGAATTCACAATATGGTCCAACCGTTTTAATCGCGTTAAACGAAAGTACGTTTTTCGGAAATAACTTACACTATTTTTGTAAAGCATGTTTATTGTAAAAACACATACATGTATTTGTCCTATTGATTACGTATATAATCATCCATCAATTGATTATAATCATTGGCTATTAGTACAAATCAACGACTGCTAGTGTTATGTCCAAACAGCAAATTTCATGCCAAATATATGAACCCGCATGACTCAAAGTTTTTCCACGACCCCGTCGTCGACTTTGAGATAACGAGGTTCGACTGTATATCAGATTTATTTATGCAAAAAGGTAACACTAATTTAAATATATGCTGAACGCATCAATTTGTTTGATGCAGTATGTGAACATGGTGATCAGATCAGCTTACTGGTCTAACAAATGAACATTTACGAGACCCTATGTGTGACTCGCATATCAGACTGTTTTCTCAACATCCAATTAAGTAAACCCCACTGATCATTAACATAAGACGAATTATAACATCTCTGGCCATCTGAAGCTTACTATTTGTCTTGGCAGCTTAGACATAAACATTGGCCCTCAGTCATACAGTGCCCGCTGAACTGTGAAGCTCCAGCTGATTATGTATTAACAATAGGCCAAAAAACATGCAAGTAGACAGATCATTTTCTAGAACAAAGATACAGATTGCCCACCATGTTTTTGTTAAACTCAGAAGTCTATTAAGTAGCCACACATCCTATTTAAGTAGGCAATTGAAAACGAAAATAGCCAATTCCAATGACTACTTTAAATTTGGCTACCAACAGAGTGAGCCGTGACGTTTGTACAGGTAAAACAATGTCGTTCATTCAATAAGAAATTAAAACCTTTATGGATCACCATTTCATAGTTTACCTGGAATTTTCAGTTATTTTCATTAGATAAGTCTGAAAAAATCACGAATTGGTGGAAAGCCTGCTAGTATTTTATTCGCAAATTTAACCACAAAACAAAGAATAAAGCTGTTTTTCATCACCCTTATTTGTGTTTCATACTTTTTTAGTGTATCCCACTAAACAACAATGTTAAGACAACTTTTTGCAGTTGTTGGATTTTTACACCCTTGATATTTGGCTATTCACCATCAGAATAACTGCACTACGCAAAAGCATGTTTTTTTTGGCACTCTGGTCGGCAATTTGTAACAATGGGATGATGTTGCATATAGTGCTCTCGGCACTAACGCATTGATTTCATACTATTTCTTTGTGGAATATACAACAGGAATGCAGGTTTTTCCACATGAAAATTACATGAATGACTGAAAAATGCATGTCATGACTATAAAGTTGCATATCCAATGAGGCCAACACAATTGAACTTTACTTAGTATTGA